TCTTCAAGCTGCCTCATGGGGGGCAGGGGGCAGCACACATCTGCCTGATGGCTCTGTTAACCTCTGTGTTCTTGTTTATTGCAACAAACTCTGAATATCATTCTACAAAGTGCCTGTTTTCGTTGAATCACATATTTCTGTTTCTTCTTAAATAAATATTTCCACAACACTTACAGTATCACAATATATCATAGAGATTCGTGACCTCTGCATCATGATATGTAACATATCGCCAAATTCTTGGTAATACACAGCCCCAATAAAGTCTGAGTATTGAACAATAAAACCACAACGGTTATCCCAGTACCTATGTTTCCCAGGACAATGCCTGCACTGTAATAGACCTTTTAACAATTGACGTCATCACGCGTGCGCACAAACATTTTTGGCGCCTCAGCCAGAAGCCGGGGGGAAGCTGCCAATTGAGTTGAGTGTTTACATTACTTCCGATAGCAATGGGGAAAAGTGACTTTTGTAGTGTGTATAATTGCTCGAGGCAATGTGATCGAGTAAAAGACAGCGGAGAAAACTTTTCTGTTTACCGAATTCCTCTAGGAAAATCGAGCAAAGCTACTAAAAGAAGAAAGCTGTGGCTCAATTCGCCGCCAGGACTTCACTCCGACGAAAAACAGTAGCATGTGTAATCGGCCTTTTTTTTTCCTGGCATGGCAATTAATTATCCGAACTCTGTGGACTACATTCTTACATTTCATCTTGGATATGCGAAACAGACCAAAGAGAGACCCTCTCGCAGCAAAACAGCATGCTAACGGACAGATGAGAAGCTAACCAGTGCAACAAGTCAGAACGAAAAACAAGAAATGCGAATCCTGCATTTATTGAAGTTTCAACCAGCCACATGCTAGGAGATTCTTCTTGCAACCAACCAGAAGAAATAACATGCGAGTTAAATGTCATTAAACACATGCAGCTCTGTCAAAATAAAGAGACCACAGCACAGTTATCCTGTATTTGGTGAGAATAAATTACACCAAAATGATTTCTGAATGCTTCCTGAGTTAAAACAGTGTTGTTGTTTCTAAAAGAATATGAAGATGTTTACTTGCATTATTTGAGGTTTGACAGCACTGCATCTTTATCATTTTGGCCATTTATCATTTTCTGAAAGTAAATACTACTTTTTTGCTTTTGATTTGTGAGACATGCTGTAAGTTCATAGAATAAAAGGAAAATGTTAATTTTACTCCAACATATACCTATAGAGTAAAATCAGATAAATTTATAGTTTTGCAGTGGTCTCTTTATTTTTTCCTGCATGTGTGGGTGTGTGTTTGTGAATTTAACCAACCATGAATGTGTCTATAAACATACAGTTTATCAATACTTATGAGTGTTGTGCAGTGTCAAATTATATATATATAAATTTTTACCAGCAGCTACTGACCTCCAGCAGCTGGATCATGCATACAGCAGAACTTCAGCTATTGGTCCAGAGGAGCGTGTTGAGACGGTCCCGCTCCCAATCCTTSAGGACATCATACACACCTGTGCTTACCTGACTCTCTTCCAAGCACCCATATGCAAGGTAACACTTTAGCTCTATTTATTATGACTTTGGTCACTCCATTTATTTTGTCAAACAGTAACTGTACTTGTTCCAAAACTGAACTTTAAAATACAATAGAAATAATTAAAGCATTTTGAGAAGGCAGCTTTTAATTTTACCAAAAACATTTTCCTAAAGAAAAAAAATACATAACAGTGTGAAGAAACAGCAGCAGAACTTCACATTTTTTCAAGAAACATTCTTGAAACCATTCTTCACTTGAGCTCTGGCTGCATGTTTGTGCTTCAATCAGATCAGCKTCTGTTTATGTGTGACATTTAAAGATGCTTGAACTTCTTGCAGGCTTCTCTGATGGTGTCAGTGGAGACTGGATGCRGGCCTAGGTCGTCAGCTGCGTCATCTGGTTGAGGGTCAGGATCTGGCAYRGCAACCAGAGGCACGGCATACCTACAATCCAACAATGCATAAAATGTGAAAACAAAGGCAAAAATAAAAGAAGTTCAAAAAAACTTTAAGTGCTATTGGTTTTTTTAAAGTATACAACATCAACCTGCAAAATGGCAAAGAAGATTCAACGCTCCAAATATCCTTATGAAGATCAGCAGTGGTGTTTTCATTCAGGTCGTCAGGATGTCATGGGTCAAAAGTTCAACGTTTTCCAGGAGACCTCCACGCCGACCTCATGTCTTAAATGACACCTGCATAAAAAACGTCATTTATGTCATCAATAAGTTCATATAAATATGTTAAAACAGAAGTCTATCAAAAATAATGACTAAGAAATATACAAGAGATTAAATATGTGGAAAATATTTAAAACATGAAATAGTTAATTTGTAATTTATTTTTATCAAGTGTGATTTTATTATTACAGTTTGTGATAGAGTTTCTGACTTCAAATCGCTTGTTTGGGTATTTGTGTTATAAGCATAATATCAAATTGATTAAAAATAACTGATTATTCGACTCACATTAAAATTTGCTGCTCATCACAAGTAGTTTGTTCGGCAGTTCGTTTTTGGGCTCATCCCTTCCATGAACAAGGCAACTGGGTGCAGACTGGTTTACTTTGTAGTTCCACCACCCCACAAGCTCGATATTGCTCCAACTCAAACAGTAGTGCTGGCACATGATTGCAGATACCCCCTTGTCTGCAAGAAAATTCATAACAGCAAATTCATTACAGCCATACCGAATTTGTCATTATTTTAAAAAAGCCAGGTAAGATATATTGCTTTTAATTAATATAATTTTTACACGCATCAAATTTTCCATCAAATAGTCTGAGCTGTAGCAAATACATTAGCAAAACCTATAGTGAAAATTTCCTATAAAGCTTATGAATGTATCTCTTGGGACGATACTTATTTTTACATCACAACATCAATAATTTTCACAGCTTTTATTTAAGCCATAGATTACACAAATAGGATAAGAAATAAGGATGCTATGAACATTTATGTGAGACATTGTTGCTAATCCAATRGCTTTGTTTACATGACTGAATAGTAATGGCTCGTACGAACGCCCGGCGCTATGCTATAGYGGCTAATAGACGATGTAACAATWACCAAATCAGTCTAAAGTTCAGCTAGATTTGGCATTTAAACTTTCATTCTGATGCTTGAGTCAAAAGATTGATGAAAACAAGACAAGAACAAGAATAACGAACTTACTCTGCTGGACATGCTCTCGCCGGCTTCAATGTCCTTTTTTCGGYGATCGTCTTTTTTTGACACAGTTTCCCCCCTTCGACAGTTGCCTCACAATGAYGTCCTCTCGGATCTGTGGCACACTTATCAGGGATTTTGTCCATGGATGTCCACAATTTTCCGAAACCAAGCATCGACATTAAAACTCGCCTTCTTCAACAAGGTCTCCCCACCCCCCAACTTCTGTATATGGGAGGAGTCGGCATTTTGGCATCCAATCAAAACGTTCATTTCATGCGTGATTTGCGTGATGACGTCAATTGGTAAAAGGTCCATTCAGTCATTTTTTTTTCATTTGTTTTAAAAGACAACTGAAGAGAGAGCCAAGCATCTTTCATGACTTTCATTACGATTCCCAGGGAACATAGGTATGGACCCCTTTGAATACCCTTGCAACCAACAGCTGGCAGAGGCTGAAGAGACGGMTGCAGCTCACACAAGAACACATGCAAATTTGATGTTGCACAGATTGTTAGTATTGTGGAAGAAGCGGTGCGATACACAATGGGAGAATGACTGGAAGCAGAGCTGATATTTTAAAGAGCCTGTGATCTACAAAGGTAGCAGGAACACAACACCTTCTTCCCCCCTGCAATGCGAGCACCATCAGATTGGCTCTTCAGCTAGAGAGTAAAACTGCTGGTCGACAGGAAACAAAACAAAAACTTTAGAGTTCAGCCATTATCTACTTATCTTATGTATAAATCACAACTACTACACAAAAATTGCATCTTTAGTGTAATAAAGTTGAAATATTACAAATGTTTAAAATATTTAAAATTAGATGCATTAATAGGACAATGCAGCCATAACACGACAGATCTCGTCTGATCTCRGAAGCTGAGCAGGATCGGGCCTGGTTAGTTACTTGGATGGGAGACTGCCTGGGAATAAATACCAGGTGCTGTAAAAATCAATGTAGGAGTTGCACCACGTTGGTCACTAGCAATACAGGGGTAGACATAAGGATTTTTTTTTCAGGTTGTCCAGCACACAACCTGTTGCCAAAATCTGGTTGTCTGCAAAACATTTTGGTTGTCCAAAGAAATCAATAAAAATGTAATTTAATAAGTATATTGTTCTGTATACAAAGGTTACTRTATGCAAATGTTCTCAGTCAGCAGGTTGACCGTTTCAGTATCTGAGTAAAACATCCTTGTTCTCCTCCTCATCCTCTTCTTTAAAATAGAAACAAAGGCTAGGGGATTAAAGCAGCAAAAATATTGCTACTAAAATTTTCTATACCTAGAGGTTAGCCAACATTCATGAGCTTCTTTCTGCTTACAGGACAAACATTTTCACTTAAATAGGAGTATACTCTGTGCATATTAAAAGTTACAGTTTAGCGTTCTCAGGACTGAATACTTAAAGAGAGAGAGGTTTTAAACAGCTCTTCTGTCATTTTAGTGTTTTCATCTGAGGAGCTTTGATACATTTATTTAAAAAAATATAGCACAAGAAGTTCTTTGCACAGAAAAAATATTTATTTTTAACCAAACTGGCATGTTTTGCCWCAAAAATTATTGCTTAATTTAAAGGGTTTTGTTGTGCTTGTGAACACACTGTGTTACAGTGGAAATGCTGCGAGGTCTTTTCAGAAATATATATATATAAAACACGTAATCCTTGAAAAATATTCCAGGAAACTCTGACGAGCTTTCCCAGTCAGACAACATGACCCGCACTGCTCTGTTCTGATTGGGTAAAACATTGACTGTGGTTCTCTCTATTGGGTGAAAGAACCGTCAGTTCAACCCCTAGGCACCTTTAACAAGTTTTTTTTCCTCCCTTTCATTTTTACAAATGATGGACACTCGTGGCGGAAAACTTTAATCTAGGTCTTTTTTTCTTGGTTGTCCACCGGACAACTGGGAGGCGGGATCTGGTTGTCCGAAACGAAAATAGGTCRTCTTGGACAACCTAAATAACGCTTATGTCAACCCCTGCAATAGAAAACCTTTGACCATAATAGGTCAAAGGTCTCCTTCTAATCAATAGGACAATATCCCAAACCTTTCAAAGCAGATGTCAATACTGTAACCTTTGGCAGTTTGAGAACATCTTAACTGTGTTAGAAATAGGAGACAATAAACCTTCAATTACCCTTTCAGTTCTCTTTAAACAGAGGACCAGGCTCGTCAAGAGAAGTAAAAGCTTCTCATCATTAATGCTGCACCCACTTCATGCTTAAATAGTTTGCAAACAGTTTTCTCACACAGCTGATGGAAATAAGTGTGTTTATTAGGAGCAGAAACTGAAAAGACTGATATCTTTTTGTATCTGCTGCATGTCTGAGTTTTAGTGTTATACAGAGATGTGATTTATACACAAGGTTGTTTCAGATGGTGGCTGAAGACATTCCTTGGTTAAGATCGCCAATAAATCAGTGAGCAGCACCAGAACAAATGCAGGAAGCTTTCTTTTAGTCATGCAAACGTACAACCTCCTCCCTCATACACTGACAGCTGGGAGATGTTGTGAAACTACTAAAGGCTTCACGTAACAATGGTTAATCAGCTCGCAGGGAGGAGAGGAGGCCTTCAAGGAAATCGGGTTTCTCTTATCCAGATTACATGCAGCTACTACATTCCTACTGCTGGAATCATAGGTGAGAAATCATGTGTGTGTTTTGCTGTGCAAAAGTCTTTATTCAACAGGAGTTACCGGTCACATTTTTTTTATAAAGACAGGTTTTGTCAATCCTGCACGAAGATTGGAAATGGAAACTAAAAAGAAGTTGAAATAAGCAACCAAGCGTCAACTACCAATAAAAAGTTTAAAAGATCTAGAAAATTTGAAAAAAGTTATGTCCACATMTGCACCAATGAAGTTAAAACAGACAAAACTGCTGGGGTCATGCTTTAAAGTGCATATGTGTAGCATCCCGCCCAACAAAGTGAATAAAAGAAAAATAAATACAAATKTTTTGTTTGATTCTCTGAACAGAGTGCAGAAAAATAAGAGGATTTATGACCAATACAGCTAAATAGGAACTGGTCCATAGTGGTAGCACTTATTTAGTCTGTGTGTGAAGCAATCACTACAAAAAGATAAATCTAAAACATTTTTAGTCTTCAGGTGTAATAAAGCCATCACTACTTAATTTACATTAAATCTACCATTTTTAGGGCTGCAACTAATGATTATTTTAATAATCGATTAATGTGTCGATTATTTTTTCGATTAATCGATTAATCG